CCATCTTTAATACTGACTGTAGTGCTGCAAAAAGAATTCCTGTTTGAGAGATGATATACAATATATATTACAGATATTGTGATGCATCAATTCTCCCTAGTGGAGAAAATTTTATTACAAATAATCCTCTGACTAAATATACTGTTTCTGTTAGCAATAATGATCAATTGATCATAGGCAATATATAGGGGTTTTAACATTTGTTTATGCAGTGACCATGCAGGCACAAAAGGCACCTCCTCCTGATATGGCGTGCAAGGATAAGTTCTTAGTTCAATGCACAGTTGTGGCAGAGGAGACTGTTGAGGAGGATATTACATCAGCCATGGTATATTCTCAGTGGATTATCTGATTTCTCAAAGGGCATTCCTCTTACACAATTTCTGACTGCTTTAACTGTAGTTTTCAAAAGATGATGGCAAATATGTTCAAGAAAATAAGATGAGAGTGATCCTTGTCAGTCCACCTGGTTCGCCTGTTTTATCACCAATCAATGTAGAACACAGTGATCTTCCAAGTTACATAGATTCACCGCGAGAAGATCAAGTACATGGTAATGAAAATATCTGTTCACATCAAGAAGTAAGTAATCTTCTTCGGAAACCAGAATTTGTTGACCATGTGGTTTGATATGGTAATAATGCCAACAATCTAAATAATGGTAATCTTTTCAGGGAGATGTCAATGGAGTACATAACCACAATGGAAGATACCAAGAATCGTTGACCAGAGATCAAGTAAACCCCCTCAATCAAAATACACCGAAGGAAGTAAGTTATTCATCTAAGCCAGAATTTAGAAACTGGTATAAATGGAAAAAACATGGAGTAATGCTAAGTATGTTCAGGAGATGTCAATGGGGTTTGGTTGTAAAAATGCGGCCAAGTAGCATGATTGTAGAGCACTGAACCATATGAAAGATATGGAAAATAAAAGTAGAAAATTTGTCTTGAATTAGTTGTTCAACAATACAAGAAGGCCCCTTACATAGAAGTTCAAAACAAGTTTAGACTGCATAAAATAAGGAAAGTTATCAAATAAGGATTTTCTTTCTATATCTTGATATTCCTAATTATGACAGAACTGTGAAGAGTATTCTATATTATTAACCTAAACACACAGTAAAAAAATTCTAGAACATACTATACTAGCATATAACTAAATAAATTCTCAGTTATTTTAACAGCTGCTTGATAAGTTGATACTGATTGTGTTTCCAGTGTTTTGCTCTATATTATGTACATTGAGTTAGCTGTTTGGTAATATATTTTATCTATCTGTTGATACACTTCTCCAGCTGGATGAGAATGTAAAGGAGTTTAGAAAGGAAAATGCTGACATGCAAATGGAGGGAAAGCATGCGCAGTTGGAGACGAGGAAGCATGATGAAGAGATGGACTTAGTCAAGGATGTTGCAAGCATGAAGTCAAAAATAATTGAACTTGAACGAAAATTAAGTGAGGTTAGAATTTTTTTACCTTCTCTTCTCTTCTCATTTTATTTTATTTTTTTATTTCAAGTAGAGTCTGGAACTACTTTTGTTCTGTCATTTGAAAAACAATATGTAGTCAGTTCCCTTGGTGGTTTTCAGTTTTTATCTGGATATAGCTTTGCTGAGGAATTGCCTGGTTTTATTTTTTAAGTAAAGATGCCACTCGTTGTTGATGACAAGAATCAATTTTGTGCAATCAAGGGGTTAAAACCAACCCATATAGAAATTGGAAGGCGTACCTTTCATCAATCAAGCCAGGGATGAAAGATTTGTACAAAATATGCTGGTCACTTCTTTATGTCAGGGTATTGTCTAATTCCTTGTGATCTTCATAAAATAGGTAGCAGCAAAAGCAGTTTACACTGAACTTTTTACCAGTTCCCTGGAATTGTCAGACCTAGACACATGAGATTATCAGTCAGCAGTATTATTGACTAATGTCCGCTGCTCAGAATTGTCTCTCTGGGCGATTTTTAAAAAAGACCTCTTAAATGCACTATCAACTATATATCTATTAGGATTAGAGTCCTAAGCTAGTTAAAAGTATAATTGTGATAGCAGAGCAGTGTTATCAAAAGCATAAAACGCAAAGAAGCTTTTAAGGTCCGTTGGGGCTTTAAGCACAAAACGCAAATGAAGCGTAGACTTCAATGAAAAAAGGGCAAGGCAGAATAAATACAAATATATATATATATGTTTAGTCCAGACTCATAATTCTAAGCATGAATGACAAGTATATGAAGAAAGAAATTGAAAGAAGATTATGATAAAAGTGAAATATCACTTGTTTAATGTCGCCTCTTAGTCTCATTGGCAAGGAAAAGTATGCCTTAGATCCTTGATAACAAAAATGAAGCGCACATTTAGCGACATGAGGCGCTCAACATGGTTTGAGCTTCAGTTCAGGGCTTAAGCCCGCACCACCTTTGACAACATGGTAGCAGAGTAAAGTGGATCCCAATTTATCATCATTGAACGAGTATCTTCTGACTTGGATTTGACTTCCGTAATCAGAGTCTCTGTTCAATGTTAGTGCATTTGATCTAGCAATATTGAATCAATCCTTGCTAGTTGTTACAGCTCCCTGCAAGTACAGAAGGGTGGTTTCTTCCTAGCAGAATCTTGGTAATACGCTGCTCAAACTATGTCGTAGCACTGTCTTCTTTTTTGATGTCCCGTACATGATAAGGTTCAGAGTAGTTGCTTGAGGATATTTGGAAAGTACATAGTAAGATCAAACATATGGAATTTAAATCAATACTGGGATTCGGGCAAGATGAGTTTCTCTTATTTTACTGTGCCTCTTATTTATCATATTTTAGTCTGTACTAGTTTTGGCATCTGTTGGTCAAGGTGATCACTTGATGAAAATTCAGAGGGGTCTAGTTTGTACCGCAGTTTGCTGACTTGTCTAGTCATTTTGATGGAACTTGATGCCAAAAGAATAAAAACTGGAAACTAACTCAACCTCGACCTTTCTTACTGAAGATTTTTCGAGTCTTCTGGAACACTTCATAGAGTTTGATATTTCCCTCCCGTGGATGTAAACTTTTGTTCAAACATATGAGTCAATTAGGTTTAGTGCCTGTAATTGGTTTGGATAAATGCTGTTTCTCACCCTTCCTTACCCTCTTGCAGGCCAAAGACACCATCTCAAGGCTAACAGAGGAGAGGAAATCTACCGCTCAAGAAAGAGAGAGCTTACAAAGAGAACTGGTATTTTCATTGATTCCTATATGGTTTAAACAAGATTTTGTTAATATTATTAATTTAAGATCACGACATTAGTAGAAGTCCTCAAAAGATTGGGATGCTATTAACTAAATCTCTATTGGGGTAATAATAAGCCAGAATGTTATGTGGATGTTGTGTCTGTTCTGAGTCCATGCTAGTCTAGCTTTACCTCAAGCAAATTGTGTTCTTGTCTTGATAAGTCGGATCCATTTAAGTCTTACAAAATGTGCATCTGTGGAGTGAGGGAGGGAGAAATTGTGTTTCAGTCCCTCACCCTAAATTTTACCTGATGAAGTCTCTATTTCAGTCGTGACGCTCCTGTGACATGATCTTGTGCTCTATAAAAGTTGTCCTTAATTAACCCTTCCTTTTTTTGTGTTCTTTTTCTGGTGTTATGATTTTGCAGGTCATGTTGACAAGTAAGAAAGGCGGAAGAAAAGTGCGGGTTGGATTTCCGCTCCTCTATGTGGTTACTGTAGCCTTTATTAGTATGGTGTTTGGTTACCTTTTGCATTACTGATCGAAGCATTTAATACACCGCTGCGACTGAAAGGTTATTATGTCTATCTTGATAGACAGTTTTTCCTTCACAAAGCCCCTATCTGTTCAATCTAACGCTGAGGATCAAATATGTTGTTGTATTGACTAGTAGAGTATATCAAGTGTTGTAAATGCTGTTTTTAGATGGAATAAAGTGTAATAATCTCCGTCTACTACCTAAGCCTGCATCATCGCAGCAGGTAGAGGAGTTGGGTATCTTTTTGCTGGAAGTGGTAATTATATTGATGGTTTTGTGAGGGTTCTTTTAACATTTTATGTTCAAAATTTTTGTTGTGCATGTGAACAGTAGTGGCGGGTATGGAGAACTTTTTGGCGATTACTGTGAACGCCAAAGAGCGTAAAGAGTGCTTCACTTATTTAATCTAATCAAAGATATTTTAGTTTTCTCAGGAAAGATCATATAGGTCGCTCTATCATGGAAATATTTTCTTGGTACACATCTCTTTTCCCATTGCAGCTGTTATTCAAGTCTCCTATCTTGGCTTTGAGTTTGCCTTGGGTACCTCTGTTTAATATTAGTGTTTATGGTTTCTCATGGCCGATTAGTCCTTTTACTATGATTCTTGAAAACTAATTAAATGCAAGTATGTTGGTACTTAAGAGTAATACTCTCCTTGGTGAATAATTTGTTAAGAGATACAATCGGAAAGTAATCATTCGAATTGTAACATGAGATGCTCCTTTTTCCCAGAACATCATCTAGACGAAACAAAAGATGAAATTCTGGCAAGCCATGACCTATCTTTGTGGCAAATCATCAGAAAGATTGGAAGTCTCAATCTCATGTCAATACTAGAGAAATGAAAATGATTTTTGGAAAAGCTATCTTCTGCTCTCTGACAATTATTTCTTTCTCATGTTCATAAAACATTACAAATGGGATATATATAATACCACACGAAATTACACCACGCAAAAAGAAGATGGCAACATTTAAGTAGCCCAAAATTTACAATAAGTTTGAATAGAGATATTGCCATCTCGAAGAGCATTTTCAGGATTAACTTACACACTCACCATGGTCAGCCAGAGCTTCACCCTTTCCTAAACCCTCCACTGCAAACGAGAGGATTTTGCTGAATTTTATGAACATTTTATCAGTTTTAGAGTTTGCTAAAGCAATGTAAATGACAGCAGTACCAAATGGTCCAAGGACCTGGGTGAAGCCCATAATGCTGTCAGCAATCTGCGTACACAGAATCTTTAGGATCCACTGGACGTCCCTTGGCAAATTTCTTTTACATCAATTTCATTTTTCTCGTGCACATCATGGACCCTGTTCCGTTGGAGAACCAGGGGCAGGAGGAGCAAATCCCCGACCACCAAACATAGGGCGCATGAATGCATCGTCAAACTTGCGCCAGTACCGATGCACTTTATGACTTGGTGCGGTAAGTAGCATCCTCAAACTTGGTGGGTGAGGAAGATCTGGAACATTTAAATCAACTTCAGAGTCCTCTCGACTGCCTAGGAGTGGGGCTGTTAGAGACTTTGGAGTATTTGCGCCTGATGACACTGTACTCAATTGCCTCTGTGGTGGCAGCAGGAGACTTATAAGGGGTTTTGTCATTAAACCGAATACCTGAAAAAAAATAGTTTACGCATTCTGGATTTCACATATGAATTGGATGTACCAGCATGGTTCAACTGACAAAGAATATCATGGCAGAGGCAAGAAGTATATACCATTGTGCTGAATAGAACAATGGTTATCGTGCTGGTAATCATTATTGCATTGTCCTGCAGTTGAGTGTGTCCCCCACGAGTGAACTGCATGACCAAATGATCAATGATTCATGACATAAAAAAATACAAGGATGTGAAAATAAGTATCATGAAGTGTACATATAAGGGCTGATATTCCCACAATGTCAGCTGAACTGGCCTAGAATATGATTAGCACGTTTACCTTATTATATGCCAGTGCCATGGACACTGCGCCTCTCATCAAACCTGCCCACCATATTATCACCTACAAAACAAAGTTAGTACTGATATCCATATGAGACATAATAAGAGAGAATTTGATCAAGCCACTGCTCACTTGCTGCCTAAAGGTAATTTTTTGCTCCGAGGATTTCTTCATTAAGTTGGATAAGAATGATAATGGAAAAACAAAGGCAGCTCTCCCAAGCAAGATTAGTCCCATCAGTATCGAACTCACGGAAATTGATAACCCAGGCCTGCAAGAAATAAAAGAACCACCTGATAAAGACTACTGACTGTATGACAACAAATTAAAAGGGAGGAAGGTAAACCATGTAAGAATTAATACTAATCTCTCTCGTACTTTGCACATAAAGTCCTCCTTCCGCAATATCACTAACAACCATTTCAAAATGAAAAAGAAAAAAAGTGATACCTGTCACCAACAAATTTCCACTTCTCGATATCCAAAGCATCCATGCCGACATAGAGGAAGAGGAAAGTCTCTGCAAGAAATGACAAAGTTGCAAAAGTGTGCCTACAGAAACATAGCACAATAACATTTAGTTGCTATATGTGCACATATGTCAATTCTCTACCACAAGTAATAGCTGACACGCGATCATTTATATAAATGATTATTTGGATAAGCTATATAAATGTGTGTCTATTTGTCAAAGCTAATCAGATCAGCTATTACTTTAGTTGTTGGAAGGTTTCGGCAGTTATGACCTAAATAACAGGTTGCAGGTTGCAGATGAAATAATTTTGACATAACAAAACTAGGGTGACCAGGCAGAACAAATTGGAAAACATCATGGCAGAAAAGTAGGAAATTGTACCTTGTAGTGACTCTTGAACTCTCGGTCACATTGTGCCAAGTGTAGTGAGACATTACAATACCACAGAAAAAGACAGTGAGAATCCCACTCAAATAGAATAACTGCAAACAATGAACAATTATGTCACTAGTATCAGATACATGCATATTGAATACAAGTGCCAATGTACTAAAATGAAGATCTTACTTCGGCCAGCAAGTATGATAAGTAAGCCATGAGCATCATAAGGGCAACCTCACGATCTGTGGAGTGCCTGGAGACCGTAAAAGTAACTTGTCATTACTAGTATTGCAATAAGAAAAGGTACGGAAATAAGAAAAAGAATGGGTCAAGAAGTTTCTCCGTCAAGTTTGAGAGGAACTAAGCAAAGTTTCACTAGATAAGAAAGTGTAATGAAACATGAAAACTTTAACATGAAAAGCTTTTACATGAACCATGTTTACAGTTTTATCAATAATGTTCTGGCTCTGTCAAGCTTCTTAGAAACACAATCTCAAACAGCAGAAAGTTCCAATTAGTTTGCTATAAATGACAAATAGATATATCTTCAAATGAGGCCAGAAATCTTAAATCTAACTAGAGCAAAATAATCAGGAAAATACATTTCCGACAGACCATAGGTGTAGAACTCCACTATATAAAATAGGTATAACCTATCAACTATAGCAGGGAATTTAAGTACTGATATAGAGTCAAGCGACATCCTAAGGAAAAGTATCATATATGTACAGTCAAGCTTGCAAGAAGACCACATTTATTAGTTACAAATAATAAAGTTCTTGTGAAATTAAGGCAACTTCACTAATTAAGGACTGAATTCATTGTAATCAAAGCATATCTGTAACATCATTGCAGCAGGAAAACCCGAAATAAGTGTTACCGCAGACTCCTTAACAGAGGCATTACCTGCCAAAATACAGCTTCTTGATAATGTAAGCACTAAGAAGACCAGTCTGCAGTAAGAAGAAAATGTCAAATGGAGGGGGAAAGCCTAGCTAGAAGTCAATATCAAAGATTTAATGAATGATGCATCATGGACACATCATTTCCTACACACGCTCACAGAGTGAAGCTTACTCCTGCTCCCAGTAAAGTGCTAGCAAGGAACAGATAGAAGAAGTTGCCAAGGAAACTGAGGGCTATACTGGGATTCATGCTCGTAAGGTCGAAGTTTTGAATAGCATTGAAAAGCACCACCGATGTAGCATCATTTACAACTCCTTCTCCAAATACAAGACTGTAAAGGAGGGGTGTCTCATCCTGATGTAGGACCTGCAGCAGCAAAAACTTGAACTTTAGGGCATTATATTGGGTCACTAGCATTGGCCAATGATGAGGACACTACTTCTGTACCTGCAATGTGCAGACGGAATCTGTGGCAGCAAATATTGCTCCAATTGCTAACAAGTGGAGAGAGAGAGAAATAAGAGCGGTCAGAGGTAGAAACACAAGCAACCAACAACAGAACAAACACAACAATGGTTTCGAAAAATTACCAAGATAATCCCCAATATCTAGAAATTCAATGTCCAACTTCTTGAAAGTTTGAATGGCACCTTCACATGACAGAGAGAAAATATCAGCAAACACTAATTAACAAAGTTTGCGAGAAACTAACACATACTACTGCATTGAAATTCAATTCCAAGATCAGGATAAAATAGGGATGATTTCATTACCAAAAAACAAGGACATAGTAGCATGTCTGCGCCAGAAACTCTAGGTGAATGTACTAAAATGCTCAAAACTTCAGGTATCAAACACATCTACCCTAGTAATAGAGAAGCTTTGCAACATTGCTTGATGGATAGAAGGTAAGCAAATTCGAGACATCTTGAAATAACCTCCTCCTTCCTTACCATCAGCGTAACATCTGGAATATAATTGTTTGTTCACTATCATTATCAAGGCCATGTACACGAAACATCATGCACGCCAATAGGCAGCTTGATATGTGGAAAAGCATATGAAAATCAATTAAGAAAAAAATATCTTGAGGAACAGACACATTGACTAGTGAACATGTTTTAGCAAGAAGATCCACTAGAAATCAGTAAACTCATTACAGTTTCATCCATCATAATTTCATGACTCATATGGAAGATAACTTTGGCCTGGGTGTAATTTCTACTCTTTAAACCAAGTACCTTCAGTAGCTATGATAAAACCACAACAAGCATCAATCTGTTGACTAGGTACCCCAGTTGCAGAATAATTCTCTGACGGAGGACCTCTCTAACCAATAAAACTTACAAAATGAGCTTTTCCAATAAAAGAATGTTTTGAATAATACCTAATGATATAATGGCACATGAGACCAGGGTACCAATGGCTCCGAACATCATTATAGTAATGAAGTTTACGAAAAATTGCTTCTTTTTTACCTGAAACCTGTAAAAGAGGAGAGTAACATATGTAATAATCAAATTTTGTGGGAACAATACTAGCAGTCAAAATATGCAATGGACCACAAAAAAGAAAAGTAAAAAGAGAAGATAATGATATTTTACCCTGCATTAAATATGATTGGAGGAAGTACATATATGAAAAAGAGATCTTCACTGAAAACCAGAAGGTGTGAGCTCTTTCCACCACTTACGAGCAAGATAACCACTCCTGTACACAAACCCTGCAATTATCGAACATACATGTAAGTGTTAATAAACAAATGAGAGAATGTAAACTGGAAATTTGAATCAAACTCAAAGGTGACAAGGGTCTGTCATTTCAATTTTATTTAATTTTACGCGATCTACATTACATGTCTTCCCACGAAAACCGCTATGTAGAAAATGAGTGACACTCACAATTATGAGGGCAGTAATGGACTCATTAACCCAGCGGTTCTCCTCCAAAAGATGACCAATGATGATGCAAGCACAAAGGAGTGCCACAAAGAGGTTGATGGATACAACAGAAGCATGATCTGAAGTACCTAAAGAGCCCAGTTTTGGAAACAGAGAAGCCAGCACAGAAGCCATCTCTTTTGCCACTTTGTATTACACCCACAGTTCACCAACTTTTTTTCAACTTCCCCAAGTTTTCATCGCTATTAGCTCCCGTCATGTCAATCTTCTGCATAATACTATATTCCATGAAATAAAATATCCCACATAAATCGAAACCTAAGAAGCCAAGCAAAACAATATAGTAGTAACTTTGAACAAAAGGAGCAGAAGAGAATGGTTTTCATCAACTAGACGAATGTAATTTAAAATTTTCCATTTCTAATCTCCCAGTTTTTCCAATCTACTGAACACCCAAACAGAAAACAAGATTCTCACCAATGCAAACAGAAAAATTTCCAGTGCCTTTCACCTGTAATTACAAAAGAAAAAAAATTTGAAAAAGCTTCTGTTAGAAACCAACTTAACAAAGAACATAGCATTCATGTTTATGACAAGTCTCCACAGTTCAATTTTCAAATTTTGTCTGATTTTCTAAACAACCAAATATAAAGTTAAAACAAAAATCAATTCTTTTCTACGAAATCAAGATTTTCACCCAAAAAAAATAAATTTTTAATAGTTTTCTACTGTTTGTGTCCAATTTTTTTATGGGGTATGATCATTTAAAATTCTAACCTATGGAATTTCCTGCCCTACAATGAGCGGAAAAAGTTAAGTACGTATCATTTTCCATGAAATTAAAGGGTTTCACAAACATTTTCCGAGAAAATTCATCAAAAAACGGAAAAATAGAATTTGAATACTCAGCTTCTTTTTTTTTGGATATACTCACCAATACAATTGCATTCTGAAAGGCGCCGGAAAACAGAGCAGAAAAAATACTACAATCCTCAAAACTTTCTGAAACCAGAAAAAGAAAAAGATAAATGGAAGAGAGAAGTGCAAAAATAAAGTTCAAATATTTGTCTGCTTCGAGTTTTCGTCGTGAAATTGCTTCCAAAAATGGAGAAAAAAAATGGATGAAAAAAAAAGCAGAGCAGAAAGAGAAAATTACTTTTGAGGAGAAGCGCGAAATTTCTAGAAACAGAAACAGAAAACTCCGGGAATAACGTGACTTCCTTTTCCTTTTTCTTTTTACTCTCTGTATAATATAATTTTATTGTATTTTTGTTTTCTCATGACTTAAATTCATAATTTTAAGATCGGTATGTTTATATCTAAAGGATCACTTGGTGGAGCTTGTGAAAAAATAATATTGAATATAATGTATTAATAATGCTGATTTTAGTTATGTAAAAATTATTTTTTATATATTAGTGTATTAAAATTAGTATACAATGATAAATTCTAAAAAAAGGTACCCTCAATAAATACTTTGAGAAATAATTATATCTTTAATCATAATATAATATATATGCATTAAAATATTTTATATTATTAATACCATAAATTTTCATATATTAATTGTACATATCTTCATATAAAAAAATGTAACTAATACAAATATTAATCATTCATAAATTAAAAAATAATATCAATGATACGCATAATTAATACGCACATTATTCTTTTTATAATCAAACTACCCTTTTTGTGATGATTGTGAAATGTCTTTAAGGTGGGTATTTAAGTTGAAAATGATTTTGATAGCAATATCATTTAACTCTAATAGTGATCAATAGTGCATTATTCTTTTTTTATATTATTCTTTTTGGGATGATTGTGAAATGTCTTTATGGCAGGTATTTAAGTTTGAAAATAACTTTGATAGTCATATCATTTAACTCTAATAGTGACTAATGGTATATTATTATTTTTATGATAAAATACACTTCATTTAAGTTTGAAAATATTTTTAATAGTAGTATAAACTAAGGGTGTGCATTCGGTTTTTTGGTTTGGTTTTACACTATTCGGTTTGGATTTTCGGTTTTTGGTTTTGTAAAAGTGTAACCCAATCCGATCCAAAATAAATTTGGTTTGGTTTGATTTTTCTCTATTCGGTTTGGCTTTTTTCGGTTTGGTTATTCGGTTATGTCAATAATTAATAACATATATAACCAAAGTAATAATATTTAATCCCTTAAATATACTTTCTAATATAAATCATAAGTATAACTTAAAACACAATACTTATAAGTATACCTATTGTAGATGTAATTCAAACATAAAAGGGAGAAGACATAAGTACCCCCTAGACTATGACCGAAATCCCAGAGACACATCTTAGCTAAATTAAGGTCCTATTACCCCCTTGAACTCATTTTTTTTGTAATTTTGTACACCTTTTGACTTATGTGGCACACCACGCGACTCCACGCAGTATATATATATATAATTCGGTTTTTTTTGCTTTTTCGGTTTTTATCTTTTAAAATCCAAAACCAAACCAAAAAACCAATCCAAATAAAATTTCGGTTTAGTTTGGTTTGGTTATTCGGTTTAATCCGAATATTGCACACTCCTAGTATAAACTCACTATGTTCATTGTTCATTATTGATTTGATACAGAGATTAAGAAACAGTAAATGATAGCGATATTTTTACCAATTCACCCTTATTAAAATAGTAGAAGTCATCTAAACGTTAAAAAACGAATAGTTTTTAGTAGCACGAGTAAAATATGTATAAAATGATAGATTAATTATTAATTTTATAAACTAGCAAATATTATTGAATATCCTAAAATAATATAGTGGAATGATAAAAATGGACGGAAAAAGTATCTTTTAACTCTAATAATGACTAATACTATAAGGGGTCGTTTGGTGTGAGGGATAATACCATATAGTCCCGGGATTAAATTATAGTACCGCTTATTTTGTTGTTTGGTTGGCAAGTTCGGGATAACTTATCCCGGGATTAATAATTAGTATCGGGATAAGTTATCTCTCTCTTTGAGTGGTATAGTAATTCCGGGATAACTTATCCCGGGATAAAATAGGTAAATGACAAAAATGTCTCTTTCAACCCTTTTGTTATATCAATTTTTACATTAATGAAGGGCATTTTTGTAAACAAATAAATTGTTCTTAAAATTTATTATTTTGAATACAACAAACCAAACACTCAATAAAAATAATCCAACACAACTTATCCCATCATAACTAATCCCAATATAACTTATTCAAACATAACTTATCCCATCATAACTCATTTTCAAACCAAACGACCCCTAAGAAATATATACTGAGCCCAAGTGAGTTCACTTATCGGTCATTGCCCCTCAAATGTTACTTTATTTTAAAGTGTGTTGGAGAAAGTAATATTTTATAAAGTAACTTATATTTTTCAATAAATAAAATAACATTTTACGTTGAAATAAAAAATATTATAATAATAAAGAAAATTAAAATGAATTCGTACATGACGAGACCAAATTGACTCGTGATGTTATGTATCGGGTCTAAAGTAATGTTAAAGTATTATAGCATCTTATGTCAAATCAAATTATTAATTTCTTTAATTCATATACTTTAAAATAAGAATTATTTATAATTGTTATAAGAATTCCATCTTACTCACTTTATTCTGGTTCCTCTAAACAAAAAAATGAAACGTAGAAGATAATCTATCATAAAAAATAAAATAAAAAAGGCTACGTATATGATAGCAACTCTGATGAGCAAGAGCAACTATATCTCAATCAATTTTTAATGTAACTTTTTTTAATAGTAGGTGTTTGTCCATAATTTATGAAATTAGAGTGGAAAATGAATTTATGTTTTGTTATAATAATTTGTTGTTAAGAGAGAAAAAAAAAACACTTTATTTAAATTATATGAAGATGGAATTTAAAAATATATTTGAAATGAATTATTTTGAACAAAAGTAAATAATTCTCGTGATCAAATGATTCTTTAGTTCCTTCATTTTTATGAATCATAGTTTTCTAATTAGATTAAAAATTGATCTTTTAGTAATGTACAAAATATATCGTCAAATATTCAAAATAATTTCACAAGATCTAGTTTTGTTCAAGCAATGGATTCTAGCCAATTGAAAGGATCTTTTGATTGAAGAGAGATTTAACAACGAAAAGAAAGATCAATTCTTTGGGATCCTTCCTTTTTTAAGTGAAACGAAAAGAAATAGAATTAGACTGAACTCGAAATGCTTCTCGAGATATTTCTTAACGAAATGTGTTATTATTGTTGTTGTAGGATTGAACACGAAATGTACTTGCTCTTATCTACATACTTTATTGATATCCATCTTTTCATCACAAATGTAACAATTTTAAATGTTGTGTCGTCTTATCAACTTCATCTGTTATATTTAGCTTATCACTTCGCCGAAGATAAGGGCCCCTACTCTATACCTAATTAAACAAATAAAATAATTACAAATTAAATCGTTTTCAATTTTCATAATAATGTAAAGAATATTACAATAATGGTATATTCTGCTGACATTGTGACAAAAAAATGTTTCTTGACGTTTTCCTAAGATAGCTGCCGACATAAACCTAGTAGTAAATGTCAATTTTATTCTCAATTTAGACCATTGTTCTTTTCAAATGTACTTGAACATTATACAGCTTCCACACTAAATAATTTAATAAAATACTAGGCGATTCTTGACATATGTTAGCTTCGGGTGAACAAAGTTATCTAATATTTCTTTTTAGTAAAATATGATAAATATTTGTGAAATCAATTGAGATGCATAAAAATTAATTCAGACACCACGATTATAAAAGAAAAGCAGAACAAAAGAACAACTTTCTAGCTTGCAACTATAATCTTTTAGTAGTTGTAATATTCACGTGAAATAATGCATCAAAATTCACGGGGCACCTATGCAATTCTTGGCCGTATATATTTACTTGTCGTCTTTACATGCAACCTCATACATTGAAAGAAATAAAAAAATTATTGCACAAATTATTTAGTTACGTATTTTATATAAATCCTGATAAATATCTTAGTGATTATTCTAAATGTAATAACAATAAACTCAATAAGTGTTTTTACGACAATAAATATTGTTGCTTAAAAAAAAAATACAGATGATAGTTTTTTTTAATATAACAATTCAACTAAATTAATTTATTAGTTAAGTTGTCCAATTACGTTCCTTTAAAAGTTATCTTCTATATATGTTCCATTTGGAGACGTAACTTTTGGATGAAATTAATTATGTTATCCTTTTCAATTTTACTTCCTCAATCAGATTCTTGTGAAATTCACAAGAAAACATAATGTACTTGTGGCTCATTGATCTCCTCATGTTCATCAATAGAATATTGTTCATTGAATCTGATTAGATATTTTTGTTCAACTTTCATTTGATCAAGTAATTAAGTAATGTACGTAATTCATCAATATTGTTGTTTGGTCTTATCATCTAATTGTATTTCGAAAAATAAGATTATGGGATTGAATTGAATTTTATTTTTTATCTAATAAATTGCAACTCTGAGCGATGTCCGGGTGAAAAATAATAGTAATTGATAACTTTAAAAATATCTAAAAAAAAACTTGGAGAATCTTAGTTAAACTATGAATAGACTAGATAATTAAAAAAAATCATCTTAATTTACGTGGTATCTTTCAAATCTTTCAATTTAAATGAGTTTTTCTTTAGTTGTATTTCTTTTCTTTTTAAAGAAAACATATTTAAATTTAAGATATAACTTTAAAAAAAATTAAGTCTCAAAATTTGTATAAAATGAATTGAGACCAAAATAAATAAATTAAATTGAGTGGTTTGGACAATGATATGACTCACCTCATGGCTTCGTGTAGAAGTTGGATTGGCCAGAGTCACAATTATTTGACTAGTACTAGTAATTGATGGCTATTAAATGATGTAAATTTGTCGTATTGAGCACATCCTTGACCCATGAGTACAAATTTGTATTTTGTTTAATTACTTGTCTTTTTTTCTTTTTTTAATTGTCATATTTTATTTATTTATATTGACAAATTAAAAAAAGATAATTTTTTTATTTATTATACTCTTAATTAATTATTTTAAAAAATATAGAATTTTTTGAAAATTTTTAATTTTTAATTCATCCACTTCATAATTAGTAAGGGTAAAATGGTAAACTAATTATGTCAATCATTGTTTTCTTGATGGTGTGTCAATTCAAAAGTTGACAAGTAATTAGGAATAGAAGGAATATTTTGTTTTTTTTTTCATTTCGTATA